AGCATAGTGTCTCCCTTGAAGGCTTAGGGGAACGATCTTGAAAGATTGGACAATCTCTTGGCTGTTTTTGAGTCAATCGTAGGGGATCAAAGAAGGTGCAAAGTTAAGAGATTGAGCAGAGTCTCCATGGACATGGGGTAGTTCTTACATCATTCTGTAAAGGGTAAATTACAAAATTTCCCCAGTTTTTGTTGAAAATACAATTTGTATGGTATCCACTGTTTCAAGAATAAACATAAATAGTCTTTAATATGCTAAATAACACTAGCTAAATACCTACCATGCACGTGACGGCTCTTTATAGGCCAATGTCACTTGCGAAATAGTTGAATTAGGTAAGGTTTGCCAACCCAATTTGATCTTGAAAAGGCTCTCACAGAAAACTTAGTAGACTTACATACTTATAAGATTTCTAGGTTCATAATTAATAAGTTATCTTAGTTAAGACCTATATAGCTGGTAAGTTACTCTAAGTAAAGCTACTTTAAGTAAAGCTACTCCAAGTAAAGTTACCATGATAGCTTAGCCACCAAGGTAGAGTAAAGGATAAGGTAAAAAGGGCAAGGGACTTATATCGTGTCAGATAGTACATGTATAGACCACTAGGTCACACCACCTACAAAATGTGAGAAAATGTTGCTCACTTCTCCTCTTGTATTATGCCATGTGTCCTACTTGTATAGGTCATTGCACTTGTCACTTGTACTATTTTGATAGGTAAGAAATCTATGACATACAAAATTTAGTAAGTTTGTCCTCTATATGACAAATAAGGAAGAGATTGTAAAAAAGCCTTTTCACTCTATTAAAGGTAATTCCTTTTGAGTCCCTCTTCTCCCCTAGACTTCTTCTTCCTTCTCCAACATCTTCATTGGATCTTGCTTGACTTAAACATTAGAGGGTGCATGTTGGAGACACCTCCAATGCTCACCATAATGAGTTTTTCCTTTTTCTTGCACATGTGGCACATGCTTGAAAACCTCTTCCAATTCTTCTAGGTAGCAAAATCAAGAATATCACCAAGTACACAATGTCAAACATGTGAAAATTTGACATCTCTATGGCAATTAGTTTGCTTTGGCCCTACTTACCCACTATTTTTTTTTCTTTTGCTTATGTAGCAGAAATGTTATCTGTTTTTTTGACTCTTTAGAAAAATCTCAGTGTTTAAATGCACATTTTGAGAACTTAAGGGTTTACATGCAATAATCCAAAACCATAAGTAGGTTAATTACGATTTTCCCTTGTTGAAAGGGTTTGCAATAATTTCCCCAACATTTATCCGTCGGCGGTTCTTGGTTGCCGGTGAAACCACTAGCCATCTTCTTCTCCGTCATCTCTTCTTTCTCCAGATGCAAAAGCTCCTTCCGCGGCCGCTCTCAACACCACCGCT